TTTTCAGTTGGAAGCTAGAAAGCTCTCTTAGAACGCAGGAAAAGTTCCCTAAACACACTGTTGCACTAATGTTCCTGAAATGTTTTACATATGTTGCATTGGGAACATCCTCCTCTTTTTTTTTGTAATTTATTATTATTTAACACTATGATAATTTTAGTAATACTTTCAGTTGGAAGTTAAAAAGTTCTCTTAAAATGCAGGAACTGTTCCCTAAAACAGTGTTGCACTAATATTCTTGAAATGTTTTCCAAATGTTGCATTGAGCGCATCCTTTTTTTTTTGTCATTTGACATTGGGTAACACTATGATAATGTTTATACAAGGAACCACTGTATAATGTGTTACCTCAGTAACGTCCCCAGAACATCCTCAGAACATTATGCCCTGCATCAAGCAAAACAAAGTTCTTATTTAATATGTCAAATTACAGTGACGTTGTATAACAGACCATCTGTCGTCGAGAACATCTTGAAAAGATTTTGCAAAATTCTTTCGTTTTTTTCGTTGTTGTCATGTAACTTTCTGATCCCTCTGAATGTCACAGTTTCTGGTTCATGTTATCCAGCATTGAGGGAACAGTCCCTGCCTGCTGGGTGCAAACTGTTTGTCAAATTTTTCTTTTTAATTTAACCTTTATTTAACCAGGAAGAGGCTCATTGAGATTAAAAATCTCTTTTTCAAGAGTGTCCTGGCCAAGACAGGCAGCAGCACAACTGACAGACAGACAAGGTCACAACAGCATCCACACAAACATCATACTCAGAATACATGGTGAAATTAAATTTGGAAGATAAGAAATCAACATATCAGCAGAGATCAGAAATGTAACTTGTAAAAATAATCATCTGTCAAAACATCTACAGACTGATGCTTCTGCCTCCAAGTCATTTGAGAACACTTTAAAAGTGTTTAAAGAAAGCAGCTTTTGAAGTTTCAGGTCTTTTTTGTGAAGTGTTCCAGGTAGAGGGAGCAGTGGATTTAAAAGCTTTCTTTCCTCGTTCTGTTGTAACCTTGGGAACAGACTGACAGATTATGTAAGCTGCAAATTTACAATGTGCAGCCATTTTAACCCACTCCTTGAGAATTTGGATATAGTTTACATTGTTAACTACCTCTAAATTTCTTCTTTTGTGATCCATTCCTTTCTTTGCTTTCCTTCTCTTCTTCTTTTGTTCTTACCTGTGCTTTTAGCAGGGCCACATCTGCTGGTAGAAAGTTTGTTTTTTGTTTAGTTGCTTTGGCACCCACTGACCAGCCATGATCTCTCAGTGCACTACAGTCATTAAGTTAACCTAATAAATAACAATACTTAGACACAAAATGCAGTCAGAATATAACCCATACATAATTTCTAAATAGTTATGCGTCCTTGTAGTCTCACGATAAGATTACACTCTAGAAGCATTTCCTTTAAAGTCCATCTACACCCAAAAAATTGTTACTCCATGTAGATTCTAAATATCTGAGTTTGACACAAGAAGGTTATTTCACATCTACAGAAAGGGAAAGTTTCTCTACGCTCACCTTAAGTTTGACTTTTTACATTTCAGTAAGAGCAGTAAGTACCTGGGGGGGGGGATTTCCTGGCTTCCACTTGTCCCACCAGTCGCTGCAAATCAATACAAAGTTGCTCCGAGTGATCACGTTTATCCTGCGATGAAACATTTCTGTCCCGATTGAAGTGGTCTCTTCCACGATGACACCAACGTCCCCATCAATGGGACACGGGGATCAACTGAATGGTTGGATGAGTATAAAAATAATACGAATCATATGCTGTGGCCTTCACAGTCACCAGATCTCAACCCAGCGAAACACCAATGGGATATTTTGGACTCACGTGTTGGGCAGCACTCTCCACCACCATCATCAAAACACCAAATGAGGGAATATGTTTTGGAAAACTGGTGTTCCTCTCTCTAGTCTATCTACCTATTGATCTAAATTCTTCATTTCCTTTGACCTATGAAAATCAGCACACATTACAGATGAATATCTTACACCATGGGAATGGAAAGCTGATATAAGTACTTCAAGGGATTGAATGTGGTAAGCTGTACGTGGAGAATGACATGTACAAACATACATAACACGAAAAATAACCGCAGCCACAGTGACGTGTTGACCTACAATACGCCTCAGTCTGTCTGCGTGGGCTGCTGCTGTGCTGCAGGTAGACACAGCAACATATTGGTAGCAATAAATCTAGAAGGAGGTTTTGCAAACACAACGCTCAACAATAGGAATATTATCACATGCTGTCACATACTGAGTGCTGTGTTAATCCTTGTTGTATCTGCTCATACCCTAATGCAACAAACTACACCCTGCAGGCTGCAGTAGAAGTTGTAAAAGGATGAATCGTCTATGGCTGCCATTAACTTTTGTTTCGATTGAAGGTGGCACCATTAGGTAAATTTCTGTCCAAAGGTCACAGCAATGAGTCCCCACTCCCACCTTAGTTTATAACCCTCGCTCACTCAAGGAAAGACGGTGCACGGACAAGCAGCAAGATGAAGCACCTTCTGTTTTTGGGGATTGTTTTTGCAGCCTTCTCCGTCAGCTATTCACAACTTCAAGGTACATTGAACTATTTTCTGCTTAAATTACAGTTTGTTTGTTTTTTTGTTTTTTTTTAAATAACCAAAAACCCAACCTGAGGTTTACTTTCGTTAGCAGGCCGAGACATCAGCACGTGGACGAATCTTTAGTGAAAAATTAAAGAACGCTTGTGCATTGCTGCTTTTGTATAACTAATTTATGTCTTTCACGTGTCTCTATCACATTTTTTTTTAACCTGAAACTAAATCAATGACATAAACCTTCATCTTTAATCATTTCAGAGTAATGAGACAGTAATATTGTCTTTCATTTTTTTTTTCTGAGACGTGGAGACTGACTAAATAAACTGTATGCTGAATAATACACAGTAATGCTTGCAGTTGTATTTTACCTTTCTATGACTTTGTGCTCACGTTATGACTTGCGATTGAAACCAGCAATGATCGTCTTTAGCTTTGACCAAAAAAGAAATGATGGTATTTACTGTCGGTTTACTCTCCTGCAAATGTTATTTACATACTCCTAACAATTGAACAAAGCTGACTGGACAATTCCTTCCTCTATAATTCTAAACTTTTAAACCCTGAGATCATTTCTGTCTGAGCCTGAACTCTGATGAGCAGGATGAGCTAAAACTATGTCAACCTGCATTTTCGCCTCACCTCAAAATAGTGGGAGAGGCCCAGGTTTTCAGGCACCCAGGCGGGGACAGCTAATTACTCTGTTAGTTAGTTAAATGGTTACTTTCCCTCCAAAATCTAGTGTATTTGGGGTAAAAGAACCGTTTGAAACCACTTCCCTTCGGCGAAACCTATGATGGGCGGGAGGACTGCAAAAGGAACCATAAATGACACTTTTTATTGCCATCATAAAAAGAGGGAGTGGGTCTCTGGGGATGAGGTTGGTTAAATATTAGTTAAAGTCTGTTGATTATTTCTGAATCATATAGAGAAACTGTGTAATGGTCCAACTTTCGCCAACAGTACTTCTGATCGAAATACAATACTTGAAAAGCAAAGCATCACGCTCTACTTTTAGTTGATTAAATGTTACTGACACTTCTTTTGTTTTTATCACCCACCAGAGTTCTGTAAACTGCCTTCTGATGCAGGTGAAGGCCAAGCGTTCATTGGTGCTTTTTTTTACGATGTAACGAAAGACCACTGCAATCCTATGCTGTACAAAGGCAGCGGG